CACAACATAAACAAGTTGCACTACAAGCAACTAGGTACAAAACTGTTAGCAATGTTTTGTCTCCCTTTTGGCAGACGAGCGCTTTCAGTATGAATATTTGTGATGTCATCGTCAACAAGCGACGTTGTCGACGTCTTGCCAGGCATAGACCTGAAACCCCTAGACGGCTATGACAAGACCAAGTCTTTCTTCGATTACATTTCCTGTGAGGCGAAGACCGCAGCAGCTATACGCACGTCATAGCAGATGAAAAAGACCTAATCATATGTTTTTTTGACAGAAAAGGCAAAGAACAGGTGAAAAACATGTTTTGTTTTGTTTTTCTTTTTTTTTAAGGTTTCAGAATTGTTCCAAAACAGTTCCTTCAACTGTTTGCGTCCGACTCAGGCCACAGAGAGGGCTGGAACATCCGAAAGACCTAAGGCTGGAACTTGGTTTGCTCAAAACTTAGATCAGCCACGGTCGATACACGAAGGAACTCCTTTCTGAGTGATGTTTGAAAACGAAAAGCAAAAAAACAGAACTGATTAAACAACAAAAAGCCGAACGCACAAAATCGGAATTGGCCAGATTGACCGGGAGAAGGCCCGAGAGTTTGATCGGGAAACCTTTGGAGACACGCAGGGCAGCCCAGGGCGGGTCGAGCCTGGCCAATCTCAGGCAAACCTGCAAGAACCACAGACCTTCCTTTCCTTCTTTTCTCTTCGAAACCACGAAATGTTCTAAGCCCAGGCGACGTCCACCACGACCACAAGGAGGCAAAGGCCGCAGAAGGCATGGCTAGCGTTGCAATGGGCATGGCGGCGGCTATGCGCTGTGTACCTGCCTCGTTCGTCGACTACCTCGCCGGTCGACGTGGAGCTCTCAGCTTAGAAATAGGAACAGTATATGATTTGCTGTGAGAAGAAAAAGAATGCTTTGTTTGTTTTCGTATGCTTTCTTATTCTATCTGCAGCTCTCGTTGGCCGTCACGTTTCCTTGAGGTCCGAAAACCAAGAGGATTAAGAGTGCGGGCAGAATTCGTGGGAAGTCGTGGCAACATGACACCATTGATTGCAACCTATTGGAACCATGTTCTGTTTTGGTGCGAAACTTCCTGTCGAAATCTGGCCGAGTGTCAATCATACCGTCGTCCAGTTGATCGACAAATGTTCCGAATCGAATTTTGAAGATTTGCGGCCAAAATTGTTGTCTTGAGACGTGCTGTAAAGCAAGTATTTCTATCGCCCAACGATTGTGTTTAACTTGCCACACTGGTCGCAGCGCAGTATGCATGCAATCTGCACTCACAGACTGTGCAGTTCCCTTTAGCATGGTAGTTTAAGCCGTTTAAGCATGCAAAGTTGTTCAAAAAGGCTGTGAAGTCCCGGACGTTCCAACGTGACATCGGAAATGCTGGCAGTACTACAAATAGGGTTGCTGGCAGTCAATGACCTCGGAAGAATCTGAGCTGCACCAACCAACAAACCATGAGGGATTTGCATGATTTTGCGTGGATATGATGTGACATGTCTTGAAGTCGAAGGATAGTTGCATGAGACATTCAAGATGTTGCTTGACATATTTGGACCTTCATCATGCGTCAGAGGAGCGGCGCCCTCGAGTGCTGCAGGAGGTGTGGTGCTTTCAGTGGCAGCAAATCTCAACAGCATGGCATGGCATGACAACAGTTCTAACATGTTCAAACCAAAGATGCCTTTCAATACCTAATAGCAATGGCCTCCAACCTAAGAGCAATGGCCTCCAACCTAATAGCAA